AGCAGTGTGCCCTTGTTGCCAAGAAGACCAACGGCATACTGGGCTGTATTAATAGGAGCATTGCCAGCAGATCGAGGGAAGTGATTATTCCCCTGTATTCAGCGCTGGTGAGGCCACACCTGGAGTATTGTGTCCAGTTTTGGACCCACCACTACAGAAGGGATGTGGACAAATTGGAGAGAATCCAGCAGAGGGCAACAAAAAGTATTAGGGCGCCGGGGCACATGACTTATGAGGAGAGGCTGAGGGAACTGGGGTTATTTAGTCTGCAGAAGAGAATAGTGAGGGGAGATTTGATAGCTGCTTTCAACTACCTGAAGGAGGGTTCCAGAGAGGATGGAGCTCAGCTGTTCTCTGTAGTGGCAGATGACGGAACAAGAAGCAATGGTCTCAAGTTGCAGTGGGCGAGGTCTAGGTTGGATATTAGGAAACACTATTTCACTAGGAGGGTGGTGAAGCACTGGAATGGATTACCTAGGGAGGTGGTGGAATCTCCATCCTTAGAGTTTTTTTAGGCCCGGCTTGATGAAGCCCTGGCTGGGATGATTTAGTTGGTGTTGGTCCTGCTTTGAGCAGGGGATTGGACTAGATAACCTCCTGAGGTCTCTTCCAACCCTAATATTCTATGACTCTATGAAGCTCTGTGCCTGCTGGGCAGTTTCCCCCCACGTGGTCTGCATAAGGGGAGGGCAGGAAAGTAGCTCCTGATAATTCATCACACTGCCTATATGGAGAAACTGACCGGCAGGCACAGAGCCTGGCTTTGCTGCTCACCATCCCCCCCCCCCCAGTTCTCTTGGAGGGCACAAAGCAACGTTGCATGGGCGCACAAGCGGTGATTCAAAGCACTCCATGCCTGCCGGTCAGTTTCTCCACATGGACTGTGAAATGGAGGGCAGGAGAGGAGTGACCTTTACAGCAGAGCTCCAGTTTGGTACCATTTTCCATAAGAACAAGGTGGCTCAGCCACTTCCCAACCCAGGTGAGTGCTCAGCTGCTTGTCCTGGCTGTAGGGGCGGGGCTAGGGTGACCAGATGTCCTGATTTTATAGGGACAGTCCCGATATTTGCAGCTTTGTCTTATATAGGTGCCAATTACCCTCCACTCCCTGTCCCGATTTTTCACCCTTGCTCTCTGGTCACCCTAGGTGGGGCGGAAGGACTATGGGACTCCCCCTGCAGGGAGCCACCGGGGTCGAGTCAGACCCACCCCCAGGAACCTTTCCTGGCTCCAGGAAGCTCCACACACACACCCGCTCCACTTCCTGCCCCCATCACTCCTCAGCTGCAAGGGGGAGAGGTCACTGTATGGGGAGCTGCACCTGCATCTGCCCAACTCTAGTGCATCCAGACCTCCCTCCCAAGTGCCACTCACCTGAATCTTCACCCTGCTGAGCCTCACCCCCTGCCTCCAGAGATCCCACAAACCCAGACCCTCCTACCAAGCCCCCCACATCTGATTCCCTACACCACCAAGCGTCACTCCCTGCATCCAGAGGCCTGCCCCGCTAAGACCCCCCTGCTGCATCTGGATCCCCTGTGGAGCCTCACCTCCCACCCCTTCCCCTTGGCCCCCCAAATACAGAAGTCAAACTCATAATATGACAGCACCCATATGCGAAAGCCAGCAACAAAATTAGACCAAAGTATTACATCCCACAGGAGACTAGACTATTATGTGCCACAGGCAGAGAATACGAGGAACTGAGGTGCACCAGTGCCTGAGGCTCCCACAGTGCCAGTGAAATGATGTTGGTGATGCCAAATAACAGCTCTAGAGACTGAACAGATCTGGTACAACATGAGTAGGAGCAGTGAAAGGTTCCACTAAGTTGTGCAACTAGTTTTTTTTAACCTTGACTGAGATCAAGTACCTAAGGGTGAAGAGGTATCATTCATTTTCCATGTACAATTAATCCCAGTCCTCTCTGCTAAGGATGCTTAAAAATGTGCCAGTTGTACTGGTTGTTTTTGTTACTTGGTACTGGTGTAAGACCACCAATTCATTTTATGTATATTAGGCTGCTAAAATGTCATTAGAAAGCTTTTATTCACTAATGATCTGGGTCTAATTCAACCTAGTGACCTAAAGGAGAAAAGCTCTGCAACCCATAACCAAACCTTTATCTTTTAATATTTAGTGGATATTATTCATAATGCAATAACTACCATATCTAATTTAATATGTATCACATTAGGTAAAAGGTGTGTGTTGGTTGACACAACTGATTACTAAAAGCTTTGGCAAAAAAATTCACACTAAAGTTAGTTCCTTAATAGAGGCTCATGCACTAAGCTCCAGAAGTCCCCGGTTCAATAGGTAGCCTGATATTCAGAGGTACTGACTTTCTGAGGTTTGATTTAATGGGAACTGTGGATGCTCAGAACCTCAGAAATAAGACTTGTGATAGAGGTGCTTAAATATAGATTTAGTAAAATAACTTGAGGTTCTCATGATTGAAAATTTTGAGGGATTTTTGGTGGAAGAAAGGGTCTCTTAGTTAAAGATTCAACATACCCTCCTCCTTCAGTTAGGGATTTAGGAACCTCCCATTCCAATTTTCTGATTCTCCAAATAGACCTCAAGCAAAACACAGAAGAAAAGTATTCCTGATATTGCTAAAGGAAGTGGGGGATAAATATTTAAAATAAACAAAATGTTCAGGCATTTTTATACACAATTATAAAGATGCAAATAAGGCACAATCTTTTTTGTCCCCTCATCCTTTTCGGTAACCATTAAAAGCAGAGAGGCTGTTTTTTAAATATACCAAGCTCAGCTTAAACCAGAAGTACTGGAAATCTCACAAAGGAGCTTTATCTTCTGACATTTCCAGCCCAAAATGATTTGAATAAGTGTCTAAACTTTTGAATGCTTATGCTAACTGAGACATTGAGGTTTGCCCATTACATTTTTTTAATCTGTGCGTCCCCTGGGACTCTGTATCATCGGAGTACAAAATACCCCCATCATAAATAAAATAATGGGGGCGCAGACAGCAATGTATTTGGTCATGCCAAACTGTGGGCTTTCAAAAATGGTTGTTTTTCATAGAGTTAGTGGCCAGAAGGGACCACAGTGATCATGTAATCTGACCTCATGCATAACACAGGCCATGGGATTCCAAACAAAGAAAAAAAGTTAGTTTGTTCTTTTGATGTCTATATTCTACTGTATAGTAGTTTATTTTAATTTAAGATTCATATAATAAAACGTTTGTTTCAAACATCTCTGTCTGACTCACTTTTGCTCTCCGTTTATAATCATATTTTGATATAGGTGCATGCAAGATCTTGGAAATATCCTTTCCAAATGACATTCCTGGGGAAATGCTCCATAGTTGTCAATTCTCAATAATAATCCCTGAGGTTTTCCGGATTCTGTGCTGCATAGTGATAATAGGAATGATGTTTCACATGCATCTGTATGTAAAGAGGAATGTGATCCTGGGCTCTCCTGCTTTCCATAGTACCCTTTCAAACACACTGCTGAGGGTAAAACATAAAACACACACTGCTGTAACTTATATAGTATAATGTGGCTGGTAGAATCATAGAAGATTAGGGTTAGAAGGGACCTCAGGAGGTCATCTAGTCCAATCCCCTGCTAAAAGCAGGACCAACACCAACTAAATCATCCCAGCCAAGGCTTTGTCAAGCTGGGCCTTAAAAACCTCTAAGGATGGAGATTCCACCTCCTCCCTAGGTAACCCATTCCAGTGCTTCCCCACCCTCCTAGTGAAATAGTGTTTCCTAATATCCAGCCTAGACCTCGCCCACTGCAACTTGAGACCATTGCTCCTTGTTCCGCCATCTGCCTCCACTGAGAACAGCCGAGCTCCATTCTCTTTGGACCCCCCCTTCAGGTAGTTGAAAGCAGCTATCAAATCCCCCCTCATTCTTCTCTTCTGCAGACTAAATAAACCCAGTTCCCTCAGCCTCAGTACTTCACTTTAATACAGTGATCTATAGGGGATTGTGATTTCACCGCCTGCTTGAATGTGAAGACACGATCATATTAAAATCCACACACACATTTTGTTTTAATAATCTTACTGCAACAGTTGGACTGTATCTGATTAGCACACATGTGCTATGGTTCTGTATGTTCAATTCTTTCAGTTGGAGTCCTCAGTCTTTACAATTATTTTCAGAGTAGAGGATCTTGACAATTGATCATCCTAGCCAACATTTCGAGCAACACATCTGAAGCTTTTTTGAGGCTTCTTGCACAAGTGGCAGAGCTAAAATTTCAGGCTTGTTTTTGTTTTTTAACTGAAAGCAAAAATAAATAAATATTTCTGATTTCATGATGTCTCTCGTGCTTCCCTCTTTCCCCTCTCTGTAACAAGCACACATTTAGATGCAAATGTCAGAGGCATTGATTTTTTCCCTCTGGGTGTACATCACTATCTCTTTAATGATTGGCTGCCTGGCAGCCGATGAGAGTACTTCCCCTCCCCTCCCAGACAAAGGGTCTGATCCGAAGCCCATTGAAACTAATCAGAGTCTTTTCAATGACCTGGATGGGCTTTGGATCCAACCCAAAGACTGCGCACATTATCTCCTCAGAGGCAGAATCCCTAGCACGGGATCGTGAGCTACTTAGAGGGCAGTGCAAAGAGTTGCTGTTGCACCAACAGGGTATTTCTGAAGATCACCCTGAAATACATTTGATTTTTTTGCACTGAATAATACATTTTATCTATCTGAAATCCCTTACGTGGATTTTGGTTTTCATACATTTAAGTTCATGCAGTATTTTGTGGAAATGTTTGTATACCACATATTTCCTGATAGTGTTTAAGGGATATTTTAATACAAAATAATGTGTCATTTTATTATTTTAAAATGTGTAAATACAACATTCATCTAGGGCTTTCGTGCATGAGATATTTGGCAATAAGCAAATACTGCATTTTGGGACTCAGGGAATAAAGAAATGCTGCCAGAATTCACTTTAATATCTTAAAAATCTTGCATGTTGTTGTTTCTTATCAGGTACCATTTCTGTGAACACATTACGTACACCTTACACTGCACCAGGAGAAAGCGAAATCCTAGACCTAGATGATGACTTGTATCTTGGGGGCTTGCCAGAAAATAAAGCAGGGCTGGTCTTTCCAACAGAGGTGTGGACAGCACTTCTCAATTACGGATATGTTGGCTGCATCAGAGACTTGTTTATTGATGGCCAAAGCAAGGATATTCGACAAATGGCTGAAATTCAAAGCACTGCTGGAGTGAAACCCTCATGCTCAAGAGAAACTGCAAAACCATGCCTGAGCAACCCCTGTAAAAACAATGGTGTATGCAGGGATGGGTGGAACAGATATATCTGTGATTGTTCTGGTACAGGCTACCTTGGCAGATCATGTGAGAGAGGTAGGTTTCAAAAGATTGTGCATGACTCTACAATGTAGAAATTAACAATGATTAAAAATGGCAAGTACTGTGTTAACCTTTTTAAAAAATAACCCTCATTGTCTGTTGCTCTTCTTCACACTGGTTTTATATTGGCAGAAAACTAAATTGAATCAAGTGGCCATATGGCCATATGAAAGAGTTTGGGGGAGATTTTCAAAGGCACAAATGGCAGGTAGGTGCCTAATTCCCACTCATGATGAGTAAGAGTCAGGTGCCTATCTGCTATTTGTGACTTTGAAAATCCCCTCTTTTGTCATTTTACAAGCTGAGCTGTGAAGAGCTTTGTGACAACATGAGAAAGTACTTTCTCTTATTATTAATTTACTGAAATGTGACTCTATGAAACCTGAATTCACCACAATCTGACTCTGAATTGAGGACGGAGTCTCCCCGCACGTACACTGGTATAACCCCACTAACTATTGTACATTCTTGAATTCCATGAGTGAAATTCCGGCTTCATTGAAGTCCTTGGCAAAACTTCCACTGACTTCAGTGATTCCAGGATTTCACCTCTTGAATGTAAATGAGAAAATATCAGGCCCCTAGAATTTAGATTCACTCTTTGTAGTTTAAAAAAATTTCTAGTCCATAGGGGAATAAAATTACTGTTCATCATAAGTAGTAAAATAATTTATATTTAAAATTAATGAATATAACCTTTAGCTGTGAAGAGGAGTGTAAAATCAGATAGTAGCTATACAAGTTTAATTTTAAAAAATTGGGGAGGAAAAGAAATATGGGTATTACAAGTATAGGTTATTTCTGATATCATTTCTATTTTATTTTAATTAGTTTAATTAACACTTTAATAATCTGCAAACACAGTGGCATTTCAGTGATATTTAAAAGTAGCATATTTCAATAATAACACTAAGAAGAATTTGATGCTGTTTTGTTGAGTCATATATATACAACTTATAATAATGGGCAATTTTTTCTGTGTGCAATACACCGTTTTATAGTAGAAAAGGAACATTGAGTAGCTCATTTTAATATTTTGTATCAAACAGATAGAGCTTTTATTTTTAAATTGACACCAAACAGAATGTGTAAAGACACTTTCAGTGCTTTGCACACACATTGCGTAAATCTTAGCTGCAATACATTAACCATGATTTGTTACAATTGTCAGCTACAGTACTTGTATTTTAGTAACTGAATATTAAATCTGCTTTTCTGTTTCTCTTTTTATAAGAAATCTTTACTTTTATATTCTAATATTCTCTCTTCTGTGATTTTATTACAATACAAGCAAAGACCCAGACCTTTTATTAATATATTTCAAGAAAAGAGAGAAATGAAATTTGACATCCTTATTTGTAAGGATAAGTGGGGAAACTAACAGTTTATCAGAACAAAAATCTTTTTTAGTATTTTTATTCCAGTTGGAACAAAAAGTGTTCAAATGCCAGAACTCTTATTTTGTGAAATCTTATATTACAATTGACACATAATATAGTCTTCCCTGCTAGCCGAAACCTAATCTGCAAGTTTATTGACTGGCAGTTAAAGTTTTTTCTGTATAGTTTAATTCATTTTGCTAGGTAAAGTGGTCACCTAAAGATTTTACTGTTTAAAAATAAAACTGATGAATGTTTTTTTAAAAAGGTCTAGATATAATCTTGAGGAAATCCCATCACTTTTGTGGTAAATGAAGTCAGGTTATTGGCATTTGCAAGTACATCTGTACCTTGATATAACGCTGTCCTCGGGAGCCAAAACATCTTACCGTGTTATAGGTGAAACCGCGTTATATTGAACTTGCTTTGATCCACCAGAGTGCGCAGCCCCGCCCCCCCGGAGCGCTGCTTTACTGCGTTATATCCGAATTTGTGTTATATCGGATCGCGTTATATTGAGATAGAGGTGTAGGTCCCAGATTTTTAAAAATGCAAGCCCCTTTGGCTAGAGGCCAGTTATGTTGATGTCTCCAGATTGTTCTATTACTGGTGGAGTGAAGTTGGCAGAAGGCATAACCAAACTGTCAGATGAATTACAAAAACCTTCAGTTAAATATGCATGGTGTACCACCCTGTGGCAAAATTCCGCTATTACATATGGAGAAGTAAAAATAGTACTTACATCTTTCCAGATCAGGAGAAGCTAGGAAATATTTACATATTTCAGTCATTAGAGACAGGGACAACAAACATATGCAAATCTGCAAATGAGAATTTAATAGCAAACTTCATCATAGGGATTTGTCATAAACATATTTAACGGGTCACAAGAACTCGCACAGAATCCTTTTCATCTCCAGTTATTTTTCCCCCTAGTATATTTTCAGCTATTGTCCAATTCAGGACTTAATTTCCTAGCACACATAACTTCACCTACTGGGAGTGATGGTAATATGGTATTCTTATTAGCTTCCTCACAATCGTATCTGGCTCTTGTCCAGCAGAAATCTTTGTGCAGTCAGTGCAGGATCATTTCCTACCCTCGGGTCTCCCTATCCAGAGGAAACTGCACTGAAAGCAGTTCTCCTTCCAGTAATATTTGTATCCCGAATGGTCATGCATTAATACGATTACAGCTTTTGAGATTCTGAAAGCAGTGTGTTGGCATTTTACCACACAAATTGTTATAACTACTACTGGTGTGGAATAACTGATACATTATTGTATTTAGTGATATAAATAACACAATTATAATTGTTGTAAGTAATTGAAGTAAAATAAGAACATGTTCACCTCCACAAACAATAGAGCCTTACAAAGTGGGAAACCATGTTAGAATAAAATATTTGAGGTTAAACAACTGGGCTCTGTAATTATGTGTTAGGAGATTAGGATATCTACAGCAAACATGGCATATATTTACATTTTATGACACTAACATTTATGTGCCATGAAGCTTTCTTTGCCGTAATAATCAAAGAAATAATTTATCCTTATTATATGTATCAATACTGTACCATACAAAAATATTATAAATTCATATTTATGGTAGGTCTACACTACAAGCGCTACAGCAGCACATCTGCTATGCTGCTGTAGTGCTATACTGTAGACCTACTACAGCCACAGAAGGGAATTTTCCATCACTATAGTAAATCCACCCCTTGAAACAGTAGCTAGGTCGGTGGAAGAATTCATCCATCGACCTAGCTGCATCTACAGTGGAGATTAGATTGACCTAACTACATCACATAGGGCATAAAATTTTTCACAGCTGTGAGTGATGTAGCTAGGTCACCCTAAGTTTTACATGTAGAGCAGGCATCAGATAAATTAAATGTGTTCAGGTCAGCAGGGCCTGATTAAATTCATCCTAGGGTACTTAAGGAACTAGCTGAAGCAATCTCAGAACTGTTAGCAGTTATCTTTGAGAACTCATGGAGGACACGTGAGGCCCCAGAGGACTGGAGAAGGACAAACAGAGTGCCTATCTTTAAAATGGGGGGGGAGGGGGATATAGACCAGTCAGCCTAACTTTGATATCTGGAAAAATACTGGAACAAATTATTAAACAGTTTGTAAGCACCTAGAGGCTAGTAAGGTAATAAGTAATAGCCAACATGGATTTGTCAAGAACAAATCATGCCAAACCAACCTAATTTCCTTCTTTGACAGGGTTAGTGGCTAATTGGATAGGGGAAAGCTGTAGATGTGATAACTTGATTTTTCTTAAGTCTTTTGATACTGTGCCACATGACTCTCATAAGCAAAGTAGGGAAATTTGGTTTAGATGAAATCACTGTAAAGTGGGTGCATAACTGGTTGAAAGACTGTACTCAAAGAATAATTATCAATGAGTTTTTGTCAAATTGGGAGAATGTATCTATTGGGCTCCTGCCCGGGTCTGTTCTGGGTCCGGTGCTATTCAATATTTTCATTCATGACTTGGATATTGGGGTGGAGGGTATGCTTATAAAATTTGTGGATGACACCAAGAAGGGAGGAGTTGCAAACACTTTGGAGGACAGGATTAGAATTCAAAATGACCTTGACAAATTGGAGACTTGGTCTGAAATCAACAAGATGAAATTCAGTAAAAACAAGTTCCAAGTACTGCACTTAGGAAGGAGAAATGCACAAATGCACAAATACAACAATATGTATAACTGGCTAGGTGGTAGTAGTGAAGAAAAGGATGTGGGGATTAAAGTGGATCACAAATTTAATTAGAGCCAACAATACAATTCAGTCGTGAAAGAGGCAAATAGCATTCTGGGGTGCATTAATTGGCATATTGTTTGTAAGACACAGGAGGTAATTGTCCCACTCTGCTCATCACTGGTGAGACCTTGGCTGGAGTGCTATGTCCAGTTCTGGGTGCCACACTTTAGGAAAGATGAGAACAAATTGCTATCCTATGTACTCTCACCAACAAAAATGATTAAAAAGTTTCAAAAACCCTGACCTATTTGGACAGGTAAAAAACTGGAAATTTTTCGTCTTGAGAAAGGAAGGTGGATGGATACCTGGTAAGTCTTCAAATATGTTCATGGCTGTTACAAAGAGGACTGTGATCAATTGCTCTCCACATCCACTATAGGTGGGACAAGAAGTAATCGACTTAATCTGCAGCAAGAGGGATATAGGTTATATATTAGGAAATACTTTCTAATTATAAGGATAGTTAAGCACTGAATAGGCTTCCAAGTGAGATTGTGAAATCCCTGTCTTTGGCGGTTAAGAAAAGCTTAGACAAACATATGTTTGGGATGGTCTAGATATACTCGGTCCTGCTTCAGTGTCAGGTGCTGGATTTCACAAGGTTCCTTCCAGGCCCATATTTCTATGATTCTATGAATATATGATTCTATAATCTGATCAGATTAGTAACTAAGGAAAATCCATAGGACACAAAAGCCATTTTATGCTCATTCCAGCCTATTTAAAGTTAATAGTTTTGTGTGTGTGTGTGCAGAAATTGGGTTGTATGTGCTTATTTTCCCACTGTAACAAATTCTTGGTTATACATAAAGTAAAAACATCAGTATAATCTAT